TTTGATCAATACTGCCATTTTTATTTGTAAATGAAATCATCCTGCTCCTCAGGCACAGATATTAAGTCTTGAATTTAAAAATTAGCATATTATTTATCTAGAGTAATTTAAATTCTTTTTCTTAGAGGAAGCAAATCTACTAAAAGGATTAATTAATTCTGTAGTCTAAATGCATATAGATTAGTCATTAGTATTAATAAGTGAATAATCCCTTAATATATACTTCTAAATTTCTACATTCATTTAAGTTCCATTGGATACTTCTAGTATTTATATATTCTTCCTAAAAGAGGGGTATATATAACCTTGCTGATTAGTTCAGGCACAAAATTCTACTGTAATCTGTAGCAAAGGAATATGTGACCATACACTATAGTACATTTTTAAAAGTCAAACTTTAGTTCCAGCAAATAAATGGATAACTGAATTGGCTTGTTTTAGGAATATTCTCTATTTTACTAGTATATAAGGAATGATACATTGAAAGTATGGATTTAAAAAATAATGTCTTGATCTGGTCACTATTTTTACTTCAAGCCTCTTGATTTGATTTATAATAGAGATCCAATTGCCCTTCATAATAGAAAATGAGTACTTGCTCAAGTTATGAATCATGCTGACTCTAAAATAGAAATGATCTGTTACAGAGTTATTCTTTCATCAGATCTTCTTTTGAGGATTAATATCATTTTAGAATTTAAGTCCTCCAACAGAAAAATGAGTGAAGGGAGACAGTGGTCAGTGTAAGACATGAAAGAAAAAACTATCAAGGGTTCATGAGGGAGAAAGAGTGTGGGGGAGGGGGTAAATAACTGATATCAAGGGCTCAAGTAGAAAGAAAATGTTTTGAAAATGATGATGTCAACATATGTTCAAATGTGCTTGATGCAATGTATGTATATATGGATTGTGATAAGAGCTGTCTGAGCCCCCAATAAAATGATTAAAAAAAAGAATTTAAGTCCTCTAGATATTGCCTGTTCTTCTATAAATAAGTCTACGTACTATTTGGTTTTAATACTATTTTATTTTGAGCAATGAAAGGCAAAAGTTCACAGTTTGTTCTTCAAAGATACTTCATTGTCATCATAAAGCAAGAGAAAACATTCATCATTTAAGACAGATTTCATTAGAAGAAAATATCTTATATATGAAGAATGACTCTTCATATATGACAACATATTGACATTTCAGCAAATATGTATTTGCTAAAGATAATACCATTCTATGGAGAATTGTTTACAAAATCTATTGGGATGAGTAACCACCTCAGCAACCAAAGGAAACAAAAAAAAAATAGTGTATTTTATAGATCCAATTCTCACTACAGTTCGAGAATTTTAAAGGGTAAAAGCATATTTTAGAATATTTTCTTGTAATGCATATATAAACTATGAATCCAAAATGTTGACATATAAGAAACAGATAAACATATGCAAACTGGCAGGAGATATTTTAGCCTAAATACTGCCCAGTGATAAAAATCTACAGAGGGAAAGATTGTAACCTTTAAATGTAAATCATATATTAGTTATTTAATCATTTTGTGTTTCAAAAAAAACTAGGTTAAGTGCTTCTGATAGGTAGTCTCATAACACTCTATATTCCTGCTGATAAATCACAGCACTGATACTGGATTGCAACTTTGAAGTTGCTAGTTTTGTCTATTTTTAAAAGCAAGAACAATCTCTATTTACTCACCCTTGCTCCCCACTTCCAAAGATGCATTTAATGAATTAATAAAGCTGATAGGAAGTAGTTCCATCATAGCCACTAAGCTCAGAAAAATTAAGAAATGTATATAGCACAGAATACAGTTATTAAGTAGAGAAGTGAACATGTAATTCTAGGTCTTCTATCAAGTCTAGTACTTTTTCTAATGTCAATAATTCAAATTTGTATTCTATTACTTATGTAAAGATTTTGCAATTAGAAATTTATTTCTGCACGAGACTGTGCATGCTTAACCTAAAAGAGAATTACCCACATTAGTAGACTACATTAAAAATATTAACCAAAATGCAGTTAACAATGTTAAACTCAACTTGCATTTCCTGATTTGTCCTGGATTTCACTTCTTAAATGTTTTACACATACTTCAGCTTGAGCAATTAGAGACTCTTCGTTCTTTTAACTGCAGAATTTACTGCTTCTCTTTTATTCCTTAACATCACTATCTACCTAATAATTAAATTTAGAAACCTCAGAATCAGTTTGGACTTCTTCTCTACCCTACACTTTTATGCTATAAAAATCAAAATAAGTAGTGTACCTAGAAACAGAACTAAATGCTGGAATCCCTGGTCTTGAAACGTGACTCAGCAGGCAAAGGCAACAAATAAAATTTACTATAAATATAAAAAACCGTTCAATATTTAAAATGATAAATAACATTATTTAAAACTGGGTTTGTGAAGTGGCTAAATTAGTCTATTTATGTATTAATTAAAAGTTTCAGCCAAATAATTCTTGACTACTGACTACAATTAAAACAATCATAATTGCAGAATTTAACTCTCAAATCTCCATCCAACACAAAACACGTTTGGCTTCTATTTATCCTTCATGTCCTCAAGGAAATGTTATTCCTTTGAGATACTTTTGTTGACTGCCTGATTATATAGGTAGTCAACTGTTTTCTATTACTATAATATTTTCATTTCTTCATCACAGCATTAATTATAATTTAGAATTACTGTTATGAAATTAGAACTTTTTATGTCTATCTATCTGTTTATAGAGTAAACTGTGAACTCCATGAAGGCCAAAAAATGTTATCTGTCACTGATATAAAAGCACAGAAGCTGTAAGAGCACTTCAAGAAAGCAGTTTTATAATTTACAAGAGTTTTTTTATTAAGAAGAGTATAAATTAATAATGTCTTCACTCCTTTTAAGAAATAAGTCAAAGTAGCTTATTTTATTATATCAATATTCTACTTGGATATTAAAGATTTTCAAAATTTTACCGACAATCATTTTATATTTGAAGTGAATTTTCCAGTTGTGTTAAAATGTATCTAGAAGTAGTAAAATATTATTTTTAGATATATAGATACTTTATTTAAATGCACTGGAAGTTTGGGTATTTACTTGGGAAAAATAAAGATATGTCACTTGCTATCCAAAAGTTGTACAGAAAGAGAATTGCTTAAGTATAAACTAAACCTTTTATTTTTAGGGTTTTGCTTCTGTGGAAAAGTATTAACTGATTTAAAAATACTATTTAATATTCATTGTAATTAAGATATGATTGTAAAAATTTTTTTTTATTTTTTATTTTTAACATTTTATTAGGGGCTTATACAACTGTTATCCCAATCCATACACACATCAATTGTGTAAAGCGCATTTGTACATCGTTTCTCAAAACATTTTCTCTCCATTTAAACCCCCGACATTAGGTCATTTTTCCCCTCCCTCCCCGCTCCCCCCTCCCGCATGAGCCCTTGATAGTTTATAAATGGGTATTTTGTCATATCTTGCCCTGTCCGACGTTGATTGTAAAAATTTATAAGGTATAAAGACTACTAGGTATTACTGAATATAGTTTAAGTATATTTACAAAATATTTATATTTACAATATACTATTACAGAAAAAATACTATGTCTTGGGTAATTTTATATTTTCAAAATTTAAGTTCCTGGAATTTGTTGTGACTAAGAATTTTATAGAGGACCTACTTTTAATGAATTGTTTTTCACACTTTTGAAGAGTCTAGTTTACACAAATGAAATTTAATTTTAAAATCTACTTTTAAATTATTGATGGAATTATTTTAATTCTGAGAACTTATCTGCATTCAATTGAAAATGTAACTTAGAAGCAACCAAATAACATTAACACACATTTTATATCTAGAATGTTTTTAAAGATGTTATTAATTGTAAATTACGACTCAGTTTTTTAAACTACAAAATTAAGATGTTAATTTTAACATGTCTAAAATGAAGATATATAACACTAATACTCTGCAGAGTTCCCTGAGAAGTTTGTATTGTGGATGTAAAAGCAACTTGCTACCCACATCAAGAGCATTTGAGATCACTTCTAATCAAATCCAATTATAATATACATAAAGCAAATGGAAAAATTAAAATTGAAGAGGACAGTTATGTAGGCCCTTAAATTGGACACAGAAAAAGTCACTGAAAATTAACTGTCAAATTCCTAGAATAAATTTAGTGTGTAGACTGATACCTAATAGCACTTCTTAATAAATAAGCAGGACTGATCCTGTTAACCATTTTATATTAGTATTAGATTAGATCCATCACATAGATAACTTGGAAGTATAAATGATTAATTTAGATATGGAGGACACCGCATGAGAAAGCAGCCACAGCCGTCCTTCAGTTTCCTACATAATTTTTCACATGCATGAAGATGTGAGACAGCTGAATGCCTAGTCCTTTCTTTCCCTTTGTAAGTGATTTAATACTTGGAACAGATTAAAAAATAAAGATTAAGAGCCACCTCCCCCCAAAGGTTGGCATTAAAACTTTCGACCAATTTAGAGTTGTTTTCAAATATTAGGCAGCAACATTCCAAGTTGAATATGTTGGAAAAAATTTGGAATGATACTAGAGCAGGGAGCTACCCCAGCGTGGACAAGTTAACAAATTCCCTTTGACAACAGTATTCTATTTTGCTTATCTTGTTGTTTATTGGCCAGTAGTACATTCATGCTCTGTATAAACAAAGAACTTCACATCTGCACCGATGACTATGCTCAAAAATAAAAAATATATACAACAAAGAAATAGAATTATAGAAAGTATTATAGTGATACAGGAATACACATTTTATATAAAATCTCTGTCTTACTGTTGGCCTAATATGACAATTTGTGAAGCAATGATGGTAACTATCTTATATTACACTCAGTATTTTTCACAGTATTATCTAGCATGCAACCGAACCTTGATTAACCAGAAATATTGGTTAGTTTTCCCAGAATTACATAGTCTAGCAGGTCTAATGTACTGAGGAACTGTACCTACTTTTGGTGTTGGGCAGGAAGCAGTTGAGAGGCGAGATGTAGCCTGAGCACGAGGTGATTCAGAAGGGGTAGTGCTGAGGGAGGCTGTATCTCGTGGGAGCACCTGAACACCACGAGAAATGATGGAGTCTGGAATCTTAACAAGCAGAAAAACAATGGTTAAATATTCTTAAAAGTAAAATCAAACAACACTTTTTTTGTGTGGCATTACTATTAGGCAGAAATGCATCCAAAAATTTTGGAAAGGTTAGTAATCTTTGGATTTAAAATATTGTTAATAGCCAAGTATTATTTCACAAAACTTCTAGATAAGGGGCATTATAGCACTGTGGTTAGGAGTGAAGGGTTTGGCAATGGTATATTGATTTTGCAGTTTAATAGTTTAAGATCTTGAGGAAGCTATTTAAATCTGGAATATTTTCCATGTCATTTTCAGATTAATTTTTCAAGTTCCTGCTCTATGCTGACTTATATAGCCACCATCAGCAAGCTCTAACGTCCAGTTAGGTTCAGTAAACAGAGGCTAGAGGAGGGGAAGAGTCAGGTCTGTTACATATTCCTGACCCCCACACCCCGCCTTACTAAGTCCCCTCAGGTTGGCTGTCCTTTAACACAAGATAACAGCCCTGTCAGGTGTTCCTTGTTTACAGGTCTTTCTTTGGGTTCCAGTAATAGTTCTCTCTTCTTGCCTGTGAGAAACATAGCATTACTGGAGCATTCATGCATTCCATTCAAATGATACTAAGATCATGTGACATGAAGTGATCGCATGGTGCTTCTCCAAAATTCTGTTCAAACCTTTATAAATAGGATTGCCCTTTATTAAACTCTACTCAACTACCTGATTTAAGTATTCTACCTGATTTCTTCTGGGATCCTGACTAATATATATTTTGAATCTCCATTTATCTGAAAAATGAGAATAATGAGAGCATCCATCACAATGGATTGCTGAAAAGTTTAGTACCATACGTTGACGCACATAAATTATTTAGCATCCCCAAGTATTAACTACTTAATAAATGTTGGCTAATACTACTGTTGCTGCCATTATATTTATCAATATACTATAAAAGGCACACATAAATTAGTAGCAGTATTTTAAAAATGTATGCATACACTAGAAATAATATTGCAGGTTATTTAAAGGTTATTAATATTTCTATTTCTCATAAAATTTATTTTAGGCTATGTATAATTTATTTAATGTTACAGGATAATACTAATAGGTCAAGTTCTTCTAACCTCAGAACTAGTATTTGACAATGTTTAAGTGTTGTGCATAAGATTATGCAATTAATATTCAATCAAGAAATACTACATACCATGTGAAAAGAAACTAGCCTGACTTTCTGTTCAGAAATATGTTTTTGATAGTATGTCATCTCTTACTCACAAAGTATGTCCACAGAGATTCCTTCATTTAGTTTATACAATACTATCAGTACCCATTGTATTGCCACCATTTCAGAACCTGACAATTTATGTGAGTTATGAACCATATCCTCATAACTAGGATGAAAAACAATAAGCATTAGGAGAAATAACAGCTCCATCTGCTAGTTTATTGAGGACTGAATTGTGTTAAGTATTTTCAAGAAATGAAGGTAGTTTAATTTAGAAGCCCATCTGCTAGCTATGTCTAACAAAAAAGGGCCATGCATTTGAAAGAGAAGAAAGTCAAATACTTCTAGTATATTTTTCAGGGCACTCTTTCACCCTGCACCATCACACTTATGTGGTACAGATGTGATAGTATGGTCACTATCTATTTTGTATCCTAAAATGTCCTACGATAATATAACTATTGCACCTATTGTATGTCCAGCCTAACAAAGTAAAAATGCACTTGCACAAAGTAGAGTGCATTTGTGTCATTATATATATTCCAAAATTTACACATCCACATGTATATATACTACAATAAGGCTATGTGTGTATATGGATATAAAGAAAAAACTCCAATATGTCAGGAGGAAGATATGCTACTTTGTGGACCTAGTAAATATTGGCAACCATAAATTTTCAATATCATTACAAAGTATGGAAATAATTTTTTCTGCATCTCAAAAGAGAAACTTATGATGTAAGGACATAATTTTTAGACCGATGATAGTTCAAGCCAAAAAGTAGATGAGATCCTCAAGAGGAGGATTATGTGGGAAGAATATACCAAGACAGAAAAAGAACAAGTAAGAAATAAACTAAAGAATGAGATAGTGCCTGGCAATAGCAACTGAGAGGCATTTCATTATTTAGAATATAAAAAACTGATTACAAGGGATTAATAAAGAGTTTTAGATAAGGAATAAAAGCAGTGAATATGAATAATTCTGCTGGACATTTGTACTGTTTTCACTAGGGGGATGTCATGAACACTGCTGTCTGTCAATCATGATCTGTGTGTGCACTCAGGAGTGGAACTGAACATTACAGGGTATGAACTTCTTATTTCACTAATTTTCAAACTGGCTGAACCAATTTATATTCTCTTGACAGAGAATGGCAAAAGTTTACTGTCGGAACTTTTTGCGTTTCAAATTTGATATCTCATTTTGACTTTACTTTGCCTTTCGTTGACTGTTAATAAGGGTGAACACTTTCTCTTGTTCATCAGTCATTGACATTTTCTCTTATGTGAAGTCCCTGTTCAAGTTTTTTGTCCATTTCTCCCCTTATTGCTCTGTTCATTCTTCATTAAATTGTTAGATTTCTGTATCTATTTTTGATAACTAGTAATTTTTTAGATAACTAGTAATTTTTATTAATTAAAAGTGTCACAAATATCTAGTCTTATTCTGTTGCTTGTCTTTACATTTACTGTATCACTATGCAGTCCTGTGCCTTCCTCACATTTTTTATGCTGGACCCCACAACCACAACCACTGTGTCCAGCTATTTCTCTGAGGGTCTTCTTCTTTTTCGCTGATCCTCCACGTTATCAACTATGATGCAAAGGTCCTTGTCAGGGCTGGTTCCTCCTGATAACATGCCCAGAATATGAAGACTAATTCCTGCCATACCCTTATTTCTAAAAGTCAGTCTACTACTTCTTCCAAGATATATTTGTTTTATTCTTCTGAAATTCCATGAAATTTTCAATCTTAGAGCTAATAAATTTGTGAAATTACAAGGTAGATATATACAAGAAAAATTACTGACATTCCTTAATCTAGCAATGAATAATTTGAAAACAAAATTAATGAAACAATTATATTTACATAGGCATGAAAGAAAACAAAATACTTAGGAATAAATGTAGCCAAAGAGATACATGACTTATACAGTGAAATGTGCAAAGCTTTGGAAAGATATTCTATGTTCTAGAATATCAATACAATACAATATCAATATTGTATTTAACAACACAATATTGTTAAAATCTACAATGTTGTTAAGGTGGTAATATTACCCACAGCAGTCTAAAGATTTAATGCAACTTCTTCAAAAATTAGAATGGGCTCTCCAGTTGCATCTCACTTCCCAAGGAATGGAGGGGAGAAAAACCAAATCTGATCCTCAAATTCATATATAATTACACATGAATCAAGTACCAAAAGAATCTTGAAAAAGAAACAAAGTTGTAAGACTCACACTTCCCAATTTCAAAATTTAATATAAATTTATAGCAATCAAATAGTATTGTGTTGTCATAATAATAGAAAGAATATATGAAAGGAATAAAAGGATGAGTCCAGAAATGAACTGGATCATACACCTATGATCAACTGTTTTCCAACAAGGATGAAAAGTCCATTCAATGGGGGAAAGAATAGTCTCTTCAATGAATTTTGTTGAACCAATTGGATTTTCATATGCAGAAGAATATAGTTAGACCTACCTTCAAAAAGCTCATAGAGAAAATGAAGGCAACAGATAATAGATGGGATTGGTATATTTCGCTATTCCACTGGTTATAAAGCAAGCCATTTCAGAAGTAAGAACAGAGAAAGATAAAACCAGAAAGAAAGAAAACCCGGAAATGAAAAGTCTGAGATCCCGATGTAGAGAGGTGGCAGAGGAGGAACACTAAGACTCTAAGATGGGCTTAGAATGAGTAAAGCTGAGTATCTTTGGGTAGGAGACTGGCTTGTAGCATGGAGCCCCCTCTGGGCATTTATGAGTGCTGAAGGAGCTTTGAAACACATGCCCAAGTAGGGGAGAGGGCAAGGGAGCACATAGCTGACAGACCAAGAACCAGAGAGAGACATGACTGCCCCGATGGCTGAGAAGAGGTACTGCTGACAAAATAACGATATCCTTAACATTTTGTAACCTATTAGATTCTTTAGTAAATCCTATAATCATGAATATTTTCTGAGTTTGATGTGGTCACTGTAATGGATTACTGGATGCAGAAGAAAAACACAGTGCTGTGGGAGTGACAGTTGGTGTCAGAATATAGTGAAGGAAGTTGGAGGTCTACCTGTGGAAATCAGCATTGATGATATGGAGCTGGATTCTCCTTTTCCCTTTTGTTGCTAGAGGAGCTCAGATGTGGTTTCCACATCATTTCCTCAAATCTCATAAGGACTAAAAAAAGGTATACCACTGTTGATATCATACGGATCTTGGCTGAAAGTAGAAAGTACTAGAAAGATGTTTATTCATATTTTTATTAACTACATAAAGGCATTCTACTTTTATCATAACAAATTACGGATGCCATTGAAAAGAACAGAAATATCAAAACAGTTAATTGGGTTCACGTGGAACACAGATTGAGAGAAGTCACTCTAATAAAGAGAAAGTCACTAAATAAACAAGGAGATGTTGCCTGGTCTAAAATCAGGACAGCTATGCATCAGAGTTGTATACTTTCACCATACTTATTCAATCTGTACACTGAGAAAATAGTTCAAGAGATCAGGGGAAGAGTCATTAATAACTTGTGATAAGCACATGGCACAAACATGCTTGCTGAAACTGAAGAGGACCAGAAGCACTTTGAATTATATCTCAACATAAAGTAAGCAAAAATTCTCACAATATGACCTACAACCAACATCATGATAAATGGACAAACATTATAAATTATCAAGGATTTAATTTCATTTGGATCCAAAATCCACACCCATAGAAGAAACAACCAACAATTCTTATTTTCCTATATCACACTGTGAAAATCTGCTGCAA